ACCTTTGCATTCATCCTGTGCGGAAATGATGCCAAATGGGAGACGTCGAAATCTGTACCTTCCAAATGGAGTGTTAAATGTTGTGAGCTTGGATGACTCCTCTGTCAGTTTGATTGCCCAGTACCCCGAACAGGCATCCGACACACCAAAGTATTTTGCACCCATTAATTTGGGTGTAATGTCTTCAATCGTCGGTAAAGGGTAGTGAGGACGTTTGATCGCTTTGTTAAGGTCACGGGGGTCTAAGCATATTCTAAGTTTGTGGGTTCGCAGTTTTCCACAACTACGAGTGCATTTACCCAGTCAGTGGGCTCTGTTACCCTTATTATGACCCCTTGTCTCTCCATATTTTGCAGCTCTTCTTTCAGTCTGCCACATAGGGCCAGAGGTACCCTTCTTGGAGGATACACGACTGGAGTTGCGTCGGATTTCAGATGGATTGTGCATTTCCCTGGGAATAATCCAATGCCATCAAATACATCAGCATATTCCTCCATAATGCATTTGTCCTCTTTTAATGCATTTACTGAGAGCACTAGCTTTATTAAGTCCAGGTCGAGGCATGCTTATAGACCTAACACGGGCGGTGCTTGTGTGTTGACTATGTAAAAGTTCATTAGTGTTTCTCTGTCCTTATATCTGCATGGCAGTGCACATGTCCCTTTTACTGTGAGCACTTGACCACCATATCCAGTGAGACTGTGTTTAGTCAGTGAGAGTTTGCACTGAGCTTTTATTTTATCAAATGTGTGCAGTGGAATGACATTTACCTGCGCTCCAGTGTCCAGCTTGAAACTACCTTCAGTTTCCTCTACCCCTAGTAGTATGTCTACAAATGCTTGTTCCATGTCACCTGGTTTTTGTGAGACTGAATCCACAAAAAACTCTGCAGGTGGGTCTTCTTCACAATGTGAAACCTCTCTGCTCACTGCATACATATTCTTTTTGCAAACAGAACGACATACTTTGGCGAAATGGTTATGTTTTCCACATTTGCCACACTGTTTACCCTTAGCAGGGCATTTCTCAGATGGACCATGAGCCTGGTTGCCACAGTAACCGCAACTTCTGCCGCGCTCCGTGATGTCATTGCTGCTGCGATGTGAAACTTTCACTTCAGCTTTCTTTGCTCTCTTCTGTGACTCTGTGCTGTGACAGCGTGCAGCACTTGATCGCGGGGATTGTATGCACTGTTTGCGAACGTTTTGAGCTGAGCTTGTGCAACTTCGTGCGATCTGGCCATGTCCATAGCCTTGTCTAGCGTTAACTCCGAACCAACGCTCAGCAGCTTCTCTCGCACTCGAGGAGAGTGAATGCCAAACACAATGCGATCTCTGACCATTTCCTCACTGTCTGCATAAGCACAGTCTTTCACTAATAGTCTTAGCTCAGTTACAAATTGCTCAAAACTTTCATTTGCTCCTTGTATTTGCTCATGAAATTTATATCTGGCGAAGATTATGTTCGTTTTGGGCATCACATATGCTTCATACTTGTCGTAGTATGTTTGGAGTACCTTTGCTTTGTCTGCCGTCAGCGCCCAGGTGTTGATTATATCTCTTCCATTTTCTCCTATCCATAGGAGCAAATAGCTGCACTTTTCATCTTCTCCCCTTTTTTTCAGTGGACCTGCGAACATGAGCTCTGCATGCTGTCTGAATTTCCTCCATGCGTTGGGTAAATTAGACAATTCCCAGTTTATGTGCGGCGATGGTACTCTTGCTAAATCCATTTTTAAATGTACTTTTCTTCTGACACCATGTCTTGTTCTACGTTTAACTTTATTTGTTGCACGGGACATGCAGTAATTAAATAAGGAGACGGACAGTGAGTACCAACAACTTCCAGCTTTAATCCACAACGTGTTGCCGTATTACAGGTTAACCATCACTAGTAAACTCCTCTACTAGTAGTAAATTATAAATTAGTGTCGCAAATATTCAGTACTTACGTGAATATTACAAGTGTGACCACATCAAAAATAAATTTAGTTCAGTCGAAAAACGGCCTCTATAGTTATGAAGCGAAGTATGTCTGTTCAATATAGCACGAGCTGCAGTTGAAGGCTGCACAGAGCGTGAGTAAGCGAGTGGCACGGGCAGCCATAAAACATTTGGATGTGTTTGTAGAAAAGGACTTTTGTACAGTGCACTGATATCATTAATAGGGATGCAACAATTAGCTGATTTCACTATTAACAGCGCTTTAAAGACGTAAAGGCTTCTTTAAGTCCGCTAACTGTCCGCTACTTTAAAGTTCAACAAGTACACAGATTAACTACAGCAGCGGCCGTTCCCATATCTTGTCTTTTCTGCTTGCAAGTTTGTTATTTCTAATGTCAGGATATATGACAATATGCGCGCACAAGCGTAGCGACCCACTTGCGGCTTTCCGGGCGCACGCAGTAGAAAACATCTCACGGTGAGAGTTGTGCGTGCCTTTCAGTGCAATGTAAACAAAAGATATGTTAGACAAATTATTATTAAATTGATTATGTACTGTATGTACTGTATGATTGCAAAAGGCAACAACAGTTATTCTAAATACTTACCTAATATAAAGCTTGAATTTACATTAGACATGACAACCGTGAAATCATGATTATTTTTCAGACTATAAAATTGTACAACCAAAATCTATTATTGTTGCATCTATAATTGTTCTGCAGTTCATAACATAGCATATGAATGTGGCTGAATGTAGAACAAGCCTACTTTAGCAATGCACTGTTTTTGTTGTGCTCTAAAATACAAAATTTGAATATTTGTAAAAAAAAAAAAAAAAAGTCTATCGTACAATGCACTGATTTTATGTAGTTTCAAAATACAATACATTAACATTTAATGTAGAAAAAAACAACGTGGGTGTCTTAAGGAGCAAAAATCACTCATAGCAAGTCATATCTCTCCGGCCCTTCGTTTGGGATGCTTTTCATGAACCAGCCCCTATGTCAAACTAATTGAATAGCCCTGGTAAAGGGGCTATGTTTTCTTTACAAATATTATTGATAATATTCCATATTCTATTCTAAAACATAAAAACACTTAGCTAACACATATAACACATCTCGTCTATAAATCATATAAATCGTTGTAATTTACAGTAGGCTATTTATTAAGAAATTAAGAAAAATCCTACTTAATAATAATAATAATATTAATAATAACAATAATTATTATTATTATTATAAATATTATTATTATTAAGTTATATCTATGGTATTTGTTTATTTATTTATTTTATTTTATTTATGGTAAAAGTCTACTTTTACAATTTGACACAATAAACCACTGCAGAAATGTTCTAACCAACAGGCCCATGTCATATACAGTATAGATAGATTTCTTAATGAATAACCTACTATAAATGAAAACCATTAACATATGCTATCTATTTTTGTTTTCACGAGCTTTGGAGACGTAATGCAAATTCTGCTTTTAAACAAAAGGTGACCTGTAGCTTTCGTCATGAGCCACGGCTGTGTTCAAAATGGCATAAATATTTTCAAAGTGCACTGCGCAGTAGTCAATATGAAGGTAGCAAAAACTGAAGTGTAAAAATACTTTGAAAGCAAATTACACTTAAGAGAGATGACTTTAATGTTTTATTTTAAATCATTCTAAGTTTAAATGTTATGAAAGGAATAGGGCGTAATATGGATAACTGGAAATAAAACACAACCAGGAACTATGCTTCTATTTACAGCCTAAAAGGTGTAGTTGCAATTGTACAATTTTGCAATGTAGTTTGCGAATGTTTGTTGGAACGATAGATATGGGAAATGCCAAGTAAAAAAATACGTAACGATGCAACTTGTGTCCTTAGTTGGCCAAAGATGGTTTTCGGAAACGCACCTCTGGTCTGTTAACAGCTACTATAAAATCCACAACTGTTGTGGCGATGCAACCACAATGTGAAGCGAGTGAAGTTTTAAAAAGTATGGAAAAACTTGAAGGTGGGTTAATAGGCAATAAATATTCTTTTTTGAGTTTTTTTATATTTTTGCTGACCCCAGTGTGGGTTTTGTGCTGCCATGTTAGGGGCCATTCACATATTACATCTTTTGCACTCACAAATTTGTTATTTCTAATGGAGGTGTGTGGCATGTAAACGCAAATAGCGAGCGACTCGCATGGATTGTGTAAGCAGTGTGGATGTATACTTTCTAGGCACGCCTAGTTGAAAACATCTCAACTTTTCAAAATGCTAAAGCTCACTTGAATCATGTGACTAGATCTAATCAATCAGCTTCAAACTTTGTATGGAATGTACACATTTCTGTAATAACAGTAGACTAATTATGTCCAACAAACAGAGCAGTGCTTTTTTTCATTTTCTTCATATATAAAACTTGTATCAGAGCTGCAGCAATGGTTTGTCAATTTGTCAATCTCAGAGAAAAAGGTTGATGGTCGCCTATGACAGATGCCAAGAGAGCGCGAGCCTAAAGCACATTGAAATCAGTAAGCAAACACATCTACTTTACACACCCTTTTAAAAGCAATATGTCAATGGCCTCTTAGTCTGCGCTGCAGTGGATGAAATCAGAAATACATCAATATGTTGCCCAGAAATGCATCAAAGTAATTGGCTGTTTAACTGGGAGAAGAATAGCGTAAATATTCTAGTGACCTAAACAGTGTTTATCTTATGTGATTAACACACATAGTCCAGTTATTGTTTTAAAAAAATATTATTGCCATCCTCATGGACCTCAGCATGTATTTTACAAATCATAAATGTAATGTTTTTTCTTGTACATACTTGTATTTGAACGTCTGAAACCTAAAGTAAACGTAATTTCTTTTAAAAACACTGATAAGTTGTGATTTATGACAAACTCTGCATGTAGATTTCTCTGGCTCAGTGTGAGCCATCACAGGAAAGCAGATTTGAATTTGATTTGAAGCAGCTGATCATTTGACACACACAAAAAAAATACAAATTTAATTTTAAATTTAAAGCAAATTTGAAGTATTATGAAAGATGTTGTGTTTTACCCGGCAGTGTTAAAGGTCTGGTTGACGCTCTGTGCTGTCAGCGGACTGGAGGTGGTGGACAGTGTGCCTGGGGAAGAGCCTCGGCTGGGGCTGCCAGGGGAGGAGCTTGATGAGACTGCAGGAAATTGAAAAAGGAAAAACACATTTAGGTTTTAATTTCTCCAACATTATGTTTCCCTACAGTTTCAGTAATGTGCTTTGTCATCCGATCAGCTCTGTACTTACCACCTCCAGAAGTAAGTGGACTAAAGGAGCGGGAAGTTGAAGGCTATAACAGGAAATTGAAAAACAGATTAGTAAGAAATAGGCTGGATTGCATACAGGAAAACAAACATCCCTGTACACACACATACATATGCATTTACACAGTTTAGGAGGATGATACAGCTATAAACATGTGAAGATGTGTTATTATGATACTGTTCAAATTATTTTGAAAGTCTTTTATGGTCACAAAGGCTTCATTTGTTCAAACAAAAGTACAGTAGACCTAAAATTATTTTGAGAAATATTACAAGTCAAAAGAACAGTTTTTTTTTAAATTTTTTTTATACAATGCAATACATTTCTGTGAAGTCAAGGCTGAATTTTTAGCATTATTCATCATCACATAAAACTTACACTCACTGGCCACTTTATAAGGTACACTTGTCCAACTACTTGTTAACCCAAATTCAGACAATCACATGGCAGCAACTCAATGCATTAGGCAAGTATGGTCAAGCCAACCTACTGCAGTTCAAACTGTGCGTCAGAATGGGGAAGAAAGGTGATTTAAGTGACTTTGAATGTCACGTTGTTGGTGCCAGAAACAGCTGGCAGTTCTTCTGACTCAAATGCCTTGTTGCAGCCAAAGGTCAGAGGAGAATGGCCAGACTGGTTCCAGCTGATAAAAAGGCCACAGTAACTCAAATAACCCCTCGTTACAACCGAGGTATGCAGAAGAGCATCTCTGAACGCACAACATATCCAATCTTGAGGCGCATGGGCTACAGCAGCCACACCAGGTGCTTCTCCTGCCAGCTAACTGAGACTACTAAGGCTGAGGCTACAATTCGCACAGGCTCACCAAAATTGGACAATAAAAGATTGAAAAGCGTAGCATGGGCTGATGAGTCTCAATTTCTGCTGTCAGAATCAACGGTTCAGTCTTGATTTTTGCTGTCAGAATCAATGGTTCAGGCTAGTGGTGGTGGTGTATTGGTGTAGGGGATATTTTCTTGGCACATTTTGGGCCCATATGTACCAATTAAGCATAATATCAACACCACAGCCTACCTCAGTATTGTTGCTGACCATGTCCATCCCTTTATGACCACAGTGTACCCATCCTCTGATGGCTACTTCCAGCAGGATAATGCTCCATGTTATAAAGTGTGAATCATCTCAGACTGGTTTCTTAGACATGACAATGAGTTTACTGTCCTCAAATGTGCTCCGCAGTCGCCATGTCTCAATCCAATAGAGCACCTTTGGGATGTGGTGGAACAGGAGATTTGCATCATGGATGTGCAGCTGACAAATCTGCAGCAATTGCATGATGCAATCATGTCAGTATGGACCAAAATCATCTGAGGAATATTTGCAGTACCTTGTTGAACCTATGCCATGAAGGATTAAGGCAGTTCTGAAGGCAAAAGGGGGTCCAACCCGCTACTAAGCAAGGTGTACCTAATGAAGTGGCCGGTGAATATATAGTATAATTCAAATATGATGATTTGTTGATCAGTAAGCATTTTTTTTAGTAATATAGATGATGAAATTAAGTTCTACTGAATATTATTTTAGAGTTATTTGATTATTAGAAGGTTTAGAAAAACATGAATTAATTTGTAAATACTTTGTTACATTGTTTTTACTGCCACCTTTGCTCAATTTAGTACATTTTTACATTTAAATATATAACTTGATAAGTATTAAAACAATTACCTCAAACCTAATACATATGAAATAATATAACATAAAATAATATAATATAACATAAGCTGCATCCCAAATGGCACATTATACACTATGCACTTATGGACTATGTACTTGTGCACTTACACCCTCAACAGCATAGTAAATGTACGTAGTGTTGTCCCAAATGAAGTACTAATTGTTTTTTTACTAAGCGGAAATTCAAACCGTTTACCAGATAATGTTTGATGGTTGCCAACTTTGTGACATAAATAACCATACTACCAAATAATACCTGCCAAGATTATAACCTCATTCACCATTGAGAGGCAGTATCAATCCAAAATAAATGAACTAATCCAACGTGAGCGCCTGATAGCTCCGCCCCTTCCGCTACGTGAGCAAAGCAGTTGTGTATGGATTGCATGAAGTGTTGATCATTCTACACTTCATTTTAATGTTTGAATAAGTGCATCAATCGGGTATTTAGTTTTTAGTGTGAACGCAGTACTTACACTAGTGGAACAGTGCATATGTATGTAATTTAGGATGCACCTATGATTTTCTCTTTTAATATCCTCTACACCACAAGTGTCAAACAGTTCCTGGAGAGCCTCAGATCTGCACAGTTTAGTTCCAACCCTAATTAAACACACTTGATCAAACTAATTAAGTCCTTAAGGTTTGTTTAAAACTTACAGGTAAGTGTGTTGGAGCAGGGTTAGAACTAAACTGATGTTCAGTGTATGGTGGACATAAGACATGACAGTCACCATTTAGGTTGCCAGAGTGTGGATTATTTCCTCAGTAATTGAATCATTAGTGCAGGGAACAGACAGACATGTGTCTCATTCAAAAATGATTTGTCAGACTTACCAGACGAGGGTTGAAGTTGTGAGGTTTTATGGGTGAAGTGGAAACTGGGCAGTATATCCTCTTCTCCTTCTGCCGCCGGTTGCAGAACCAAACCCGCACCACCTCCTTCTCCATGGCCAGCTGCTCTGAGATCAGCGTAATCTCTTCAGAGTTGGGTTTTGGGTTCTGGATTGGGCAAAAAGCATTTATAAGTTTCAATGAGTACTGCTATCTTACTGTTTTCCACATGTAATGTAGTAGTCTCCAGAATCTTAAAGCACATGGCAAGTACTGCAAAATTATACAATAATATATAAAATATAAGCATAGACAGAAATAATGAAAAGGTGTTTCACAGTAATGGCAGAGAATATTTTGATTCCCTTTCAACTGCATACAGTTGAAGTCAGAATTATTAGCCCCCCTTTTAATTTTTTTTTCTTTTTTTTTTAAATATTTCCCAAATGATGTTTAACAGGGCAAAGAAATTTTCACAGTAGGTCTGATAATATTTTTTTCTTCTGGAGAAAGTCCTATTTGTTTTATTTTGGCTAGAATAAAAGCAGTTTTTAATTTTTAAACACAATTTTAAGGAAAAAACATTAGCCCCTTTAAGTTATTTCTTTTTTGATAGTCTACAGAACAAACCATCATGATGCAATAACTTGCCTAATTACCCTAACCTGCCTAGTTAACCTAACTTAACCTAGTTAAGCGTTTAAATTTCCCTTTAAGCTGTAGAAGTGTCTTGAAAAATATTTAGTTAAGTATTATTTACTGTAATCATGGCAAAAATAAAATAGATCAGGTATTAGAAATTATTTATTTAAACTATTATGTTTAAAAATGTGTTGAAAAAAATCTTTTCCATTACACAGAAATTGGGGGAAAAAATAAACAGGGGGTGAATAATTCAGGGGGACTAATAATTCTGACTTCAACTATATATATATATATATATATATATATATATATATATATATATATATATACTATGTCACGTCAAAAATATGGACTAATCTTATCATTTATTTATTAATTTTCTTCTTGGCGTAGTTCCTTTATTAATCCGGGGTCGCCTTAGCAGAATGAACTGCCAACTTATTTGCGACCGACGTATATGTCACCAAGACACCAAACTAATCTTATATTTTTATGCTTTTAAAAAGAGTTTCTTCTGTTCACTAAGACTCAAATAAAAAAACAATTAAAACTATAACAATTTAATACATAAATGCTGTGAAATATCATTAAAATAATAATGTGATCATTGTTTTTAATATATTATAAATAGTTTTTTTTCCTAATTATTCCAGTCTTTTGCTGTCACATAATTACTGTTCTTTAGTTGACATAAACTAACAAGAAAATACTTCTAAAGCATTTATTAACCTTAGTTAATCCTAATTACAACAAATATACAATTGGTCAAAATTTTGGAATGATCTTATATTTTTATACTTTTGAAAAGAAGCTTCTCCTGTTCACCATTAATATATAAATAAAACTATTACAATTTAAAACAACACTGCTGTGAAATATCACTGAAAAAAAAAATATATATATATATATAAAGATTAAAATTATGACATATTCAAGGCATGGCGGCTCGGTCTTTAGGACTGTCACCTCACAGCAAAAAGATTGCTGGTTCGAGTCCTGGCTGGGTCAGTTGTCATTTCTGTTTGGAGTTTACATGCTTTCCACGTGTTTGTGTGTGTTTCCTCTGGTTGCTCCTGTTTCCCCACACAGTCCAAAGATGTGCAGTACAGGTGAATTTTGTGTGTGTGTGTGTGTGTGTGTGTGTGTGTGTGTGTGTGTGTGTGTGTGTGTGTGTGTGTGTGTGTGTGTGTGTGTGTGTGTGTGTGTGTGTGTGTGTGTGTGTGTGTGTGTGCAGAAGAAGTTTTTTTCAGAGAATGGTGTGACTATTGGCTGCAAAAATTGAGAAAACATGTTCTGTTGAAGGATTAGTACCCTGATACCTTTCAGGGTGAATTCAGAAAACAAATGAAGATATTTTAGCAGAATTCTGAGAGCTCTCTAACCCTAAACAGAATTGTTTCTTTTTTTAATATTGTCAGAGTCCAAAAAAGAAACCAAAAACATTGTAAAAACATTTCATATGACTTCAGTGGTTTATCATACTGTATGTAATCATCATATAAAGCACCAGGAACACTTTTGTGCACCCAAACAAATGATTTCTCTTCCTTGTCATGTTGACAGGGTGCAAGTTTTATATGAGCAGTACGACATAATAACACATTATGTGTTGTCTCATCTTTATGCAGATGATGCACAAACATATCTACCTTTAAAAAAATAAGACACAAAATATCTCAGAAATTTGTTTGCATGTCTAGATGACATTAGATCTTGGATGTCTTTAAATTCCTAATGCTTAATTTTGAGGAAAACTAATGTATTTGGTCCTTTGGTAGATAAAGCTAGTCTAATTCATAATGTGTAAATTTAAACACACCTTTATTAAGCCTTCTATGGAAAATCTAGGAGTCTTCTAAAAGTAGATGCCTCCCTAAATTTTGACCAACAGATTAGAAGTGGGGAAGTCATTCATTTTAGTCTTGGATACTTTTTAAAATCCATGTAAAATCAAAATTCTCAGTTTATTTTGCTAACACATTAGTATTCATTGGGTAAACAATTCATCTGTGAAAGATAATCCACTGAAAAAATGAAGTTTTCAATAAAGTCTGAACAATTCTATCTGCTTTTGAATTGATAGTGTCCTGACATTTGATCCTACATATCAGATTATGCTACCAATACTGTTTTTGGATGGTTCTGAGGATGTGGCTTGGGATTAGGTAGGTTAGGGTGATATTACAGCTTCATTTCACACTACACATTAAAAATTACCCTGGTATCAAAATCTGATAGGCAGCATATTGCGTCATCAAAATGAACTACCTACTTTTTGAATGAGAGGTAGAACAATCTGACAAGATAGGACAAATCAACAGAACAGAGGTTCCTAATCCTTTACCATATGGACAACGCAAGGGCTTTGTGAAATGGAGCAAATATATTGAAAGAGTCTGCCATTCTGTAAATTTGGAAGATGAACCATCTACTGAACTCTTTGAAGCTAAATATTGTGCCTGTGATCTCATAGTAGACCTTTTTTTTTTTTTTTTTTTTTTTTTTGCTGAAAACTTTGCTGACGAATTTACTGGCAAAAAACTAAGAAAGAATGGCCACAGTGAACGAGCAAACAGTGTAATCAGTGAAGCTGATAAACACTTTAATCATTCTTCTTGCTAATAAAAAACAAGTTCACACTCTTTATCATTTTCCAAGAATATTCCAGGACACTTCAAGTTTCATTAAGATATCACAGATATTAAAAGGAAAATTCACTTCCAAAAAGTAAACCTTCACTTTTTCCAAACTGGGTTGACTTTCTTTCCTTTGTTGAACACAAAAGAAGATATTTTGAAGACATATCCGAAAGCCTGTAACTATTGACTTACACAGTAGGAAACTTACAATGGAAGTTAATGGTTACAGGTTTCAAACACCTTCTTTTGCATTTAACAGAAGAAAGAAGCTTCTAAAGGTTTGAAAACAAGCAATGTTTGAGTAAATGTTGAAAGAATTTAAATTTTTGGGTGAATGATCCTGCTAAATAAGCTAATAGAGGTTATTTCCCTTTTCAGAGGTCTTTAAATAAATAAATAAATATCTAATAACTAATTTAAAATTAAGAAAGAAAACAAAATGTTATATATTAATATTAACTTGATTATAATGTTTGATTTTATCAAACATTTGATTATGGTGTATTAATGTAATATCAACAATATAAACGTATTGACTCTTTCGAAAAGATGGATTTGAAACCTAAAAGTTTTAATCACGTTCTCAAGCAATCCATTTAAAATCAAAAAAGTTTAATTTGGTAAAACAAAGCAAACAGATACTAACAGCAAGAATGTCTCTCTCCTTTTATATTTTACATGCTATAAATGAGGATTTGAAGCCCTGGAAATTAAGCAAAAATGGTAAACTCACATCTAGAAAGCGTTTCTCAAGCGTGAGCTTGATGTTCGTTTCGATGCTTGTTCTCTTTTTTCTCTTCCTTCCATATCCCTCCATGAGGGGTGGTAAAGTAGTGGTGTTGGTCATGGTGTCAGACGGTGAATTCTCTGAGGAAAAGTAAAAATTAATGTATTTAAAGAAAAAGTTCACCAAAAAACTGACTGAGTTTCTTTTTTGTTGTTGTTGTTGTTAAACACCAAAGAACACATTTTGAAGAGTGTTAGAAGTCTGGAGCTATTGACTTTCATAATATTTATTTTCCCATTGTAGATGTCAATGGCTACTGAAGACATTCTTCAGAATATCTTGTTTAATGTTCAACTCAAACAGGTTTGGAACAAGTAGAGAGCAAGTAGTTATGAAGGAACCAGTGTTGATTAAGTTACTTCAAAAAAGTAATTTGTTACTGATTACATCATTAGGGTTGTATTGAAGTCTGTAAGACCTGATTTTTTTCATATTTATTTTGTTTAGCATTTGACACATCAGGCGTTTATGCAACTTTTTGATCGTAACAATGTTAATTTTAATTACAAAAAAATTTTTATTTTTGCCCTTTTACATTTTGACAACAGAAAACATTTCAGGCATTTTTTTTTCCTTTTTTTTTTTTTTTTAACAATAAATACTTTATAGACTTGTAATATTTTACTTTGAGGTGGGCGTAATAGCAGTTTCAGTCCTTGGTCAGGCAAGGATTCACTTTACACTTGCACAGTACACAAAAGAGAGAAACTATTGCTGGAGAAGTGTTTTTATTTATATCAGGTTTCTCCATGTTGTAAAATTATCAGGGTCATGCCTTCTAAAATAAAAAGACACACTGAAGCTTGACCTTTTACAAGGTGCAATTGTTGTAAAATACCCACAATGCATTTTTAGGATGGCAATTCAGTCACTAATTAGAATAATTAAATCATCCAAATACTGTGTTTGCCTTGTAGTAGGTATGATATAAATTACATTACAAAAAGTGACATGATTTTTTTAGGAATAGAGCACAAGTAATGCATTATTTCTGTCAAGAAAACCTTTATTTAATAAAATTAGTAAAAAAAATGTTATTCTTACTAAAACAATTTTAAATTAGCAAATAGTTTCCATCCAAAAGGCCTGCAAGTAATTCAATGAGAGCAGCCACTTTTAAAAGGCAAAAAAAGCCTTTCACTGCCTGCAGCATCATGAAAATCCACAAGAGGGCAAAATACAGGTATCAAATTATATGCAACAGGTTTGCAAGCCAAAGATTCAGGTTAATATTTTATAGGACTTAGAAACTTTTGTATCAAATATGACATGTGCGGCTCTACAGGGTTAAATTACTTTTCTAAGTACTTTATGTGAAAAGTAACTAGTAATTCAATAAGTAATTTAAGTACTTGATTAAATCCAAAAAATTCAGAGTCTCAAAGCATAGATAATAGAATCCTTTTCCAGGACGTTTTAGCTATTTATTAATATTTTTTTTAAATAAAACACTAAAATTATTGATAACTGTATTCATTGAGGCACAATAAGCTTAAAATTAATGACTATATATCAAATATACCGCATACTGTGGTATAACATTTGTTAAATATTTCATTGTTTCTTAAGCAAGTGCAGTTGTAACACTTTATTTTGATGGTGGATTTGAGTATTGGTAGGCTGTACTTAATATCTGTTGATATGCTTCTTCAACAGACATTTAACTGACTCTAAGAAACTTTGCAAGTACATGTCAACATGAATGAAAAGTAATCTTACTTTACTCTTTCTCCTGAAAAGTAATTTAATTATACTAACTAGTTCCTTTGTAACTGATCACATCGAACAATGGACTTTCACGTTTAGGTGATAAAAACCAAAAGTATCTTGATGCAGCCTTTATGAAGCAAGCTGAAATTGCATCACTCAGTGATGCAATGTCAGACACATGCACTCAATGGATTGAGTGACGTCACTGTGACGGGTAGGGTTAGGGTGCGGTTAGGTGAGCATATTAAAAAGCATTGGATGCAGCTCAGGTTGCACTGCAGGTCTGCATCCAGACCCCTCTCATAAAAACCAGAGTTAGCTGTGTCCACCAGAGGGCAGCAGCACATTTACCTGCATCACTTAGCCACTTTTCCAGTAAAGGCTTGAGCTTGCACATGTTTTTGAAGCTTAGATTGAGAGCTTCAAAGCGTGAGATGGTAGTCTGACTGAAGTCATTTCCATACAGCTTTCCCATGGCCAGACCCACATCACCCTGCGGACACATCACACAAGAGTTAGGATGGGAACTGGATGAGCTTAACAAAAGCATTGTGCAAGATACATAAAATGGTTCCTTGTCGGTTTAAATTTGAAATAGAAAAGACCACTGAAAAGGGGGGAAATTTAACTTATAAGTTTTCTATAAAAATGATAAGAATGAAAGTCCCCAAACATGATAAACAATATAGATACAATTTTAGCAGTAGCCTACATTATATTTTGTAAATAAGTATGCTCATTTATTTTTCTGATATGTATAAAATACCAAACACACAATTGTCAATATGCGTAAATGTATTCAATATAAACACATAAATACAGGGTGATTTTATTCATGAGAATAAATCATAAATAACATGGGGTTTTTGAACTAGGGTTTGAAAACGCACAGGTGGTCACAAGGGAGTTAAAATGTTTTTTTGAATTTTGTTTTTTATCTGTTTATTAGACTTTTTCAGATATAACAAAGTAATCTTACAGAGGAATTTAAACAAATATTATTTACACCCCTACCCCTCCAAACAAGATTAAATTACATTTGTTCAAGAGAGAAAAGAAGAAATAATAATAATAATAATAATAATAATAATAATAATAATGATGATAATAATAATAAAATAAAAATATATAATAAATCAATAAAAATAAAAATAATACCTGTACAGAATACATATCTCCCTTGATAACCCAATATTACAAACATGAATGCTCAGGTATTTAATTACATTTGCTTTGCAATTGAAATGCCCTAAAATTTAGATTGACAGTTTGTAGAGATACTGACATCCTTAGAAAAGATTATTCTAAATGGGTCTCATGTTTCAAAAAAAAAGCACATGTATTGCCGTTTATTGTAAACCTGATTTTTTCCAAATGGATAAAGTTCATTGCATCTCACAAACTAGATGTCAAAACTCAGGAGAAATCGTTGTTTCCATAATTAAAGAATACACCATCTTGGTAACAGTGTCAAAAATGCAAGGATGTTTGTAGTACAACTCAATAATCCTGCTATACTCAGAGAAAGTCCAAAAAGTGCAATAAGAGGACATGGTTCAATGTGTATCTAACCAAAATGAAATGATTGATGGACAAACCCAAAACATATGTATTAAGTCTGCGGGTGCTTGATTACAGCGATCACATATAGGGTCCAAGTCTTGAGTTATTAGTATGTATATTTTTTTGAAAAAAAAGAAAAAGGATAATAGTCAACCTTTTTGTTTAGATATAAAGTCATAAAAAATATTTTTTTAATTAAACCAAACCAACAAAAAATAAAAAAAGGCAATATAATATGAATTAAAAAAAAACATAAAAAATCACACAAAATTAATCAGTTGTTATCAATGTTTTAAATACAGTAGCAAGACACAATATCTATTTAAATGCATTCTTTTTTTGTCCCAAAGGTTAAAAGTGAATAATGACCCCCCTCCTCAATCAACTCAGTTCCATTTAGCTGTACTTCCTACATTCAAATCTGAACCACAATTTTGCATCCTGTTTTCTGTTTTAAATTGAATTCAGATGTATTCAGAATGTGGAATCCACTATTTGGCTTAGTCTACTTATTCTTCAGAGGATACCACAGAGGAATGAACCGGCAACTTATCCAGCATATGTTTTACCAACACAATCTCACGGCAATTCGTAACTTTTTCATTTAGTGGCTAATTCGTATGAATTCGTACGATCTAATTCGTACAATTTAGTACGATTTGCTTATCCCCCAATGACGGTTGGGGTTAGGGGTGGGGTTAGGTGCCACGCCTCCTTTTTAAAATCGTATAATTTCGTACGACTGAAATCGTACGAATTCATACGAATTAGCCACTGAACTGGCTAATTCGTAAAATACTTACGTTTTCTCGTGAGATCAGGCTGGTTTTACACAGCGGATGCTCTTTCAGCTGCAACACAGCACTGGGAAACATCCATAGACACTCATTCACACACACATATACGGGCAATTTAGTTTATTCAATTCACCTGTACCAAATGTCTTTGGACTGTGGGGGAAACCGGAGCACCCAGAAGAAACCCACGCGAACGTGGGGAGAACATGCAAACCGCACAGAAATGCCAACTGACCCAGCCTGGACTCAAACCTGCAACCTTTTTGCTGTAAGGCGACAGTGCTAACCACTGAGCCACCCCTTCTTCATAACACATATATTTTTTAAAGATGATCAAAATGTGATTAATGGTTTAAAACACTGAAAGAAAACATTTTAAAAGCGGGTGTAAAATGTCACCTGAGTAAAGCCTAGTTTAATGCGTCTCTGTTTAAAGGCTTTAGCGAACTGCTCCAGCTCCTCCAGGTCATTGGGCTCATCTTGTGGCGATCCCACATGTTTAGGCACCTGTAAGTGAGACATGTCCAGATGTCCATCCATAGAGGAACCAGCGAGACCTGACCTGCCCATTGCCTTATGGGTACACAAAAACGAAAAGTTTATTGTTTTCATTGTTTAATGTTTCCTTTTTTATAAATTTATTTTCTAATTCTTCAAGGGGATATGCAATGAGAAATCAAAATGCCATATACACTGTTAGCCCTTACTGTAGATTATGCAGTAAATAACTGTAAAATAGCCAGTGTTTTGCTGTAATAACAGGAAACACCATTTTACTGTAAAACGAGCAGGATTTGTATGAAATTGTGTAGTTTAAAGAATAAATTACAGTGATTTACTCTCTGTAGCCATTATAGGTAGTAACTGTGATAATAAATGGTAAATTACTTTTCATTCATTACAGTCCCATCTACTCTGATTGTTTATGGTGCTATATATAGAATAGTGCATTTATCTTAATGCAGAAAACAATGATTTAGACCTTGACACACACATACACAGGATGTCTCTCTTATTCTAAACACAAAATTGTGAAAAAAAGCTTTCAAAATATGTTGGCCTATTAAGGGAGCCAGGTGTTTGATTTGTTTACTTCTGAGTGCTCCATTCTCTGTTTAGCAGTTCAAATGCAGAGTCTGGTGTTATAATCCAAAAATCTACAATGAGTAAGTAAAATGTGTTTAAATATTTTTGAGGGTTTGTAAGTCTGTGTATTAAGTTATATTGTTGTTGTCTTGAACTGTGTACTTGAGGGCTACATTGTTAGCTAGTTAGTCCTTCCTCATATAACTTTTTACATTACTTTCATTTAACTATTTTTATTCACTAGATATTGCTTATTTCCATAATGAACAGTCTTTTTGTCAAATAAGCAGATTGTAAACACATAAAAACCATTAAATTCCAATCTCCTCAGCTAGGTAGCTAACATGCACAGGAATCATCACAGGTATTCGAAAACTTTTACTCTCAGGTCCCAGGTTGTGAATTTGTTGCTAAGTATTTTTCAGAGCTGTGTTTCCAACTGTGAATTCCTAACGACAATTGAAATGTTTGTTTTCTTGAATATTATTAAGTAAATAATAAAAAGATTGGATCCTTTGGGTTCTGTTTTGCCGACTTTATTTTTTATTTATTTTGTTTTTTGTTTGTTTTTTTTATAATATAAGTATGTGTGTGTGTGTTCTTTTGAAATGCATTTTTTTTTAGAATTATTTGAAATAAATGTCATTTTTTTTTCTTTTGGTCCTTTTTTGTTTTTAAACTTATATTAGTGTAACCTTGTCTATCAGGCCTTGTATACCAAACCATTACAGTGAGTAGCTGGTACTACAGTGTTGCCAGTATTAGACTGTAAAAAAGTCTGGTAAGGGTTAAAAGTGTACACTGTAAAAAAATGCTGGATTCCACACAATCGATTTGCGATGGGACAACTTAAAGGAGTTAAGTGAACTTTTTTGTTTTTACAAATTTAAGTGGATTGAACAATTAAGTTGTCTAAAAAACCCTTATGAATTGTGTTGTTTCAGCTCATTTTAAATTAGTAGTTTGAACAAACAGCAAATGTAATTTTTTGAGTGTAAGATTTCACTGTAGCCTAAGGTAAGTTTCAGAACTAGTTTCAAAGCTTTGTTTACACAACAATGATGTAGCAAAATAATGTACATTTTTTTTTAAGTTTTACATATACACAACAACTTTTTCAAAACAATCTATGATTGCACATGTCTGTGAAATCAGCCAAAACACTTGTATAACACTTGTATTATACACTCACCAGCCACTTTATTAGGTACGCTTGTCCAAGTGCTCATTAATCCAAATTTCTAATGAGCCAATTACATGGCAACAACTTCATGCAATTAGGCATGTAGACATGGTCAAAATTATCTGCTGCAGTTCAAACCGAGCATCAGAATAATGAAGAAATGGGATTTAAGTGACTTTGAACATGGCATGATTTACTGCAGTTTACAGAGAATAGTCAGAAAAAAGAGAAAGTATCCAGTGAGCAGCAGTTCTGTGGCCGCAAATGCCTTGTTGATGCCAGAGGTCAGAGGAGAATGGCCAGACTTGTTTGAGCTGATAAAAGGCCCACAGTAACTCAAATAACCACTTCTAGTAACTCTTAGTACTCATTACTGCCAAGGTATGCAGAAGAGCATCTCTGAATGCACAACACGTCCAACCTTAAAGTGGATGGCCTACAGCAGCAGAAGACCACATCGGGTGCCACTCCTGTCAGCTAAGAACAGGTAACTGAGGCTACAATTTGCACAGGCTTGCCAAAATTGGACAATGGAAGATTGGAAAAGGTTGTCTAGTCTGATGAGTCTCGATTGCTGCGATGACATTCAGATGGTTGGGTCAGAATTTGACTTCTAGTGGCTAATTCCAGCAGATAACGCTCAATGTCATAAAGTGTGAATCATCTCAGACTAGTTTCTTGAACATGACAATGAGTTCACTGTACTCAAATGGCCTCCACAGTAACCAGATCTCAATCCAATAGAGCACCTTTGGGATGTGGTGGAACAGGAGATTCGCATCATGGATGTGCAGCCGACAAATCTGCAGCAACTTCGTGATGCTATCATATCAATATGGACCAAAATCTCTAAGGAATATTTCTAGTTCCTTGTTGAATCTATGCTACAAAGGATTAAGGCAGTTCTGAAGGTAAAAGGTGGTTCAACCTGATATTAGTAAGGTGTACCTAAGAAAGTGGCTGATGTATATGCCAGGCCATATTTGAAGCTGTTACCTTGATAGTAAAAAGTACATACAGTGAAGTGACAACATGTAGGTTTTGTAGTGTGTATATGATGGACCTTTTTGTTGTAATACAAATGAAGTAAATCTAAACTTTGCTGAAGAAGCAAGTATCCAAATCTTGACCAGCAACAATACTATCTGCAACCGATGTGTATCTTTGATTGCTTTTAAAATCGACAAATACTGTGCATGTCTACTAATCTAACATGCACTATGCACAAACATGGTGTCGCTGTTTTCAAAGATTTATATTTTGGGTGTTTACACAGGATTATGGCACCGTTTTTCAGAAAACTTCCACTTTCAAATTTAGACGTTTTTAATGCCTGAAATGCTGTTGCTGCATAATCAAACTGGCAAAGCACATATATTCCAGCTTTTGGTTGAGAACATTGTGTAAATGGTCTCCAAAAAGCTTATATCTGCATAAATAGCAGGTTTTGGAATGAGCCACTTGATTACTTATAGTAAAAATATACATATAAAACAGGCTGTGGAAAAACATTCGGTGTGTCCAAAATCCCATACTTCATATATTATATGAAAAACAGTATGTGAGGTGAGTGGCAAAGCAATTCAAAGTATTCAAAAAAACCTAAGTGAGAAGTATGCAGATGACCTATTACTTCTGGTAACATTCTGAATTGTGCATCACTTGGACACTTTACTATCCCATGAGGGCATGCAAGAGATCTTTTAAGAATGGGATTAAAGTAATTTATAAGCAGGTAATGTAGTCATAAAAGAATAATAAGAGGGAGTAGGTCAAATTTCCATTCATGCTACCCACATTCATGCTATTTAGAATGTCCTTTCCTGATGCTCATGAAATAAGCTCAAATTCACATATATTACCTATTCGATTAATATGCAAATTCAAATGAAGATACTGTCTGCTTTGCCTGTTGTAAAGACTGTAGTATAGGTGTTTTAACCTATAAATCAGTATATTGATGTAGGCTTTGAAACATATGCATAAGTTTACATAGGTAGGCTGTATGTTTTTAAACTTTGGGTTTAGCCAATTATATCAGTCAGCACTTTCTTCCTAGCCTACAATCTAATGCACAAATTCAATACTCCACAATTTAAATGATTTTTTTTTTTTTTTTTTTTTTTTTACCTCAGAGAACACTACAAGATGTTAAAAAGTACATTTAAAATGTACAGCACCAGGGACACCATTAGTAGATATGAACTACCTGACAAAAATCTTGCCACCTATCCAAGTTTTAGGAACAACAAATAATAACTTGACTTTTAGTTGATCATTTGGTATCAGAAGTGGCTTATATGATAGCAAGGGCATCTAGATTATGCTTATTTTACCAAAATAAAATATGATCAAGCCTTGATTTTTAATTATTTAATTAGGAAAGTAAGGTCTGATTTTGCCTTGAAAAAAGTCTTGACACTTAATTAATAAGGTCATCTGAAATGGCAAAGAAATTGTTCCTGCAGGACTCAATGCCTCCTCCTCCATCTTACCCCAGACATGCTTATAAATGTTTATCTATGGTGAGTGGGCTGGCCAATCCTGGAGTACATTGACCTTCTTTGCTTTCAGGAACTTTAATGTGGAGGCTAAAGTATGAAGAGTGCGATCCTGCTGAACAATTTGCCCTCTCCTGTGATTCGTAATGTAATGTGCAGCACAAATGTCATGATACCTCAGGCTGTTTATGTTGCCATCTACTCTGCAAATCTCTTGCATGCCCCATATGGAATGTAACCCCAAACCATGACTTTGCCTTCCCCAAACTTGACTGATTTCTGTGAGAATCTTCAGTCCATGCGGGTTTCAATTGGTCTTCTGCAGTATTTGTGATGACTGGGATGCAGTTCAAAAGATAAAAAACATCTACCTTTTTCTACTTTTCCAAATGATCAATTAGAATACAAGTTATTATTCGTTGCTCTAACAACTAGGATTAACGACAAGACATTTGTCAGGTAGTGTATACTGTAAAAAAAAAGCTGGGTTCCACACAATCTTTGTAATGGGACAACATGAAGACATCAAACTAACTTAATTTTTTATACAAATTAAAGTGGATTGAACATAAAAAATTAATTTGAAACAAAAAAAAATTATGAATTGTGTTGTTTCAGCTCATTTTTAAATAAGTAGTAGTTTGATAAAAAAGCAAATGTCAGTTTTTGAGGGTATATAATGCCAAACAATGAGATTTTATGCATTACCAACCAAAGTGTGGTGGCACTTGCCTGAATAAATCTTTTATATTCATGTAATGTTTCATGTAACATTCGTCTTGTTCGCACGACAGAGAACAAAG